TACTTCCCTTTCAGAAGTTCTTTCAGTCAAACGCAACTCTTGCGCTTCTAAACTGCTCTGCAGCTCTTCAATTCTCATGGTACTCAGATCTTTGGAATGTTCTATTGCTACCACAATGTAATCAAATTGAGAGGTAAGGGATCTCAATACCTTCTCCATGATTGTTTCTTCAGAAAGAGTTTCTCCACACGCCTTCATCTCATTAGTGATCAGAATCACTCTGGAGATGTATTCAGAAACTTTCTCATTATTCTTCATGTTGAGATTCTCATATTGCTTTCTCAAGGAATGAAGCTTCACCTTCTTCACTGATGCGTCACCACCATAACATCTCACCAGAGTGTCCCATGCAGCCTTTGCTGTTGTAGAGTCTGCAATCTTCTCAAACACGTTTACATCCACACATTGATGAATGAAGAACAATGCTTTCTGATCCTTCTTCCTTACTTCCTTCTGCGCGTTTTTCTGTTCATCGGTTGCATCTGCTGCTACTGGAACATAACCATCAGTGACAAGATCTAGAACATCTTGAGCACCAAATAGTACACGCATTTGGATCATCCAACGATTCCAGTTTTTACCATCAAATACTGGAAGTTTGGTGTTCATGTTGCCGTTTCCGTTCATCTTCTACCTTGCACAATACACTCAGATTTCTCACACAGTGTTTCCCAACCCACAGAATAAAATTCTGATCAGATTTTGTTCAAGATTCAACACGAATCTAAGAATCAAAATCAAACACACAAGACCTCACGTTCACTCGTGTTTCCCGTGTTTCCCAATGAATCTGAACCGGAGCTCTAGATACCAATTGTTGGTGCAAAGATAGAATTATTCTATTTAAGAATGACGGCAGAAGAAACAGGATTAAGAGTTACAATGATTGTCACCCTATTTATAAGCTAAAACTAGGGTTACTAGAATAAGATAAAATACTAAAATACCCTCTAACAAACTTATGGGCTTAAGAAAGTAATATAATAAAATATGAATTATTACTAATAAAATGCACCAAACCTTATTTAGTGTTCTGTTTAGGGTTTAGGGAAGACTGACGGTGGAGATTGAGTTGAGAGTGGGAGATGATTCGGGAGAAGATGCCATGAATGGCGCGTTAGGTACTGTGACTCTGTCACTGCTGCTTGGTTTAACTTTGAAGTTACGATCTCTCTTTATGTGTTTTTTCTAGTTTTGTTATTTATTTATATGTACATGGGTGCACCTGTAAACGCGTGTGATGTGTTTCACTTTTTCCCACTGAAAAAACATAAATATTTTTTCTTAATAAAAATCTAATTCAATATAATGACTTTTAATTTTCACACCATATATATATATATATATATATATATATATATATATATATATATATATATATATATATATATATATATATATATATATATATATATATATATATATATATATATATATATATATATATATATATATATATATATATATATATTAGGGTATGACCAGAGAAACAAACAAATCAAATAAAAGGATAAAATAGTAAATAAAACAATAGTAGATTGAAAGTAACTACATTATTTAATGCTCTGAAATGTACCATACTTTATTTAGTTTTAGGGTTTAAGGTTAAGGTTTAGAGAAGACTGACAGTGGAGTGGAGATTTAAGATTTAGAGAATACTGGAGATTGTGGAGATTGAGTGGAAAAAAAGAGCAACAACATCTTTCACAATCTTCCAAATTCAATACGGTAATAAACTCACATCAATCTCTATAAAATCATCGACCTTTCTAATTTTCAAAACCGTATTACCTCACCATAATCATACTTAATCATAATCATACTTAATCGTACTAAATAAATCTTCTCTTTCTCTCAAGATTCGAATTCCGATGGCTTCCATACAAACCGTCCAGTGCTACTGTTGCGGCTTAACGGAGGAGTGTACACGGCCGTACATTGACCATGGATTTGTGGTTTATGAGTGTTACCATTTGTGGTTTATGCGTTGAGGCGGTGAAAGAAGAGAGGTTGAATTCACATAGAGATATTACAATCGATGAAGCGCTGAAGAGACATATGAAGTTCAGAATTTTATCTTTGAGTCCTCCGAATAAGCCTGCTCTCGATTTGATTCTTGCTGTGAAACATCTTTTCTTTAGGTGTTTGATTCTCTGAGGAACGAAGGTTTGAGTTTTGGTAGATCGCGGAGCTGTACGTGAATGAGATGGAACAACACAGAGAGTGAAGGAGGGAGAGACAAGCGAGATGGAACGACACAGAGAGTGAAGGAGGGAGAGACAAGCTAGGGACACAGAGAGTGAAGGAGGGAGAGACAAGCTAGGGTTAGGGTTAAGGTTCAGTTGTTGTAATGATGGTGGGTGGTTTTTAAGGATGTTTGTGAGAATTTAGTTTTAGTTTTAGGTTAAAGTTCTCTTCGTGAGTTTAGTGACTTTAATCTAACAGATGTTACATCATTTTGTTACTTTGTTTTCTTATTGAATTATTTGGTTAATTTTGCGTATATTTTAAGTTTGTTTAAGTTTGCAGTGCCATTGCTACCACGATTGTAAATGCATTCAGCTTTAAAAACTATATTACTAAGAGCAACTTTAGCGCGGGTTATTAAACCAAAATTTTGTATAGCTTATGTTAGCGGGTTATTAAACCAAAATTTTGTATAGCTTATGTTAGTAATAAAGAATTTGCATTATAGTAGAGCTGACATGACATCTAATGAACTAAAGTTTAGTTTTCATTATCTATATATAGTTAACGTTTAACTATTTAATGAGAAACATATTATAATATTATTTAATACTAATAAAATATTCCAATGAGAAACATGTTTATATGTTTTTTCTTAATAACACACATTTAATAACACAAATTTAACAAATTTAACGTGTTTGATTTTTTTAAAGTAACTTTTGATTTTAAATCACTTTTACATGAATGTATTCAAACATAAACACATTTTACTAAACTTAAATCTATTAAAATCAATTCTACTAAACTCAATTTTATCAAAATCAATTATGTACACGCTAATTCAAACACAAAATAAATCAACCATGACCAAACAAACTAATACTAACATGAATTTTTAAAACTTTGGTTTAAAAACATAAAACTTTGGTTTAAAAACATAAAACTTTAAACGAAATGCATATACTTGAAAATACCTTAACTTATAACTTAAGGAATCTTTAAATGAAAGTGAACTTTAAAAGTGAAAAAATACGCAAATAAACATAAAAATTTCAACTTCAAGGTTTGGGGGTGGTTTTATATAAACAAAAATAAAGTTCAATATGACATTTGATTTATAGTTGTGGAAGATGAGACCTTTGGTTCAATATATCTATCACCAAATTGAGTCTTTTATGTTGTTTTCACAATTATAGGATTTATTGAAGAAAAATCGTTTATATGATACTCTATGTTGTGTGTATTGAAGAAAAAACATGAGGGTTAAAGTTAAATCACAAGGGTCATATGGTACTCTTCATGAGTTGTGTGTATGGTGGAGAAATCATGAGACTTATAGTTAAATCATACTCTACTTTGTGTGTATCAAAGAGAAAACATGAGGATTAAAGTTAAATCATGAGGGTCCTATGGTACTCTTTATTGTCATGTATTATTTTATATTCCTATGAAAATGTAATTTTTTTTATGTATTATTGTGGTAAGTTTTGTATCATTTTTAATTTTATAATAGAATATATTTAATATTATTTCTAAATTTTTAAGGTAAATTTTATTTAAAAAATTGTATACATTTTAATTAAAATAATTAAATTAATGGTAACTTGAATAAAAAATATAAAATATGGGGTCAAATTTTTGTTTCTTATAGACAATAATCATTAAAGTAAAAACTACTCAAATCAACTATAAATTTTTTAAATCCTACAAAACACTTTGGGTCCAAAAAAAATATCTTAGTTTATCCATTTAGTTTACTCTCATTAAAGATGCTCTAAATAGTATGGATATTTAGAAAATATAGTTAAGTGGTTTAAATAATGGATAATGCTAACTTATGTCCCAAGGCCACAAGTTAAGTGATTAATATAATAAAAATTTATTGAAAATTGTGTATTAAATTTAATATAAATTTAACATTAATGATTTTATTGCTTTTTCCAATACTTATTTTTTATTTTTGAATTTTTTAACATGTGCCTCAAAGCTACAAGTTAACATTACCCTTAAATAATTGGGACCCACTTATACCACCAACATGAGTAGTATGGACGTGAGTGCTCTGAGTTTCTTTTTTTAATAATAGATTAATATTTATAAATTAAAATAATAATTTGACATTTAATAACTTAAACTTTCATTATTAAAAATGTTTACATAATCAAAATTGTATAACTCTTTAAAAAGACATATCGCAAAAATGTTATATTTTTAAAAGCTTTTCATAGCATTAAATCAAAGTAATATTTTAAAATTTTAATATCCAAACAAAATTATAGAATAATGATATATTATCTAAATAATTATTTTATGAAAATTTATTTGAATTAACTTTTTATTTCTAAATTAATTTTTATATACTGTGTATAAATATTAAACAAAAACATATAAAATTAAAAAGAATTATTTTTTAAAAACACTTAAACAAACGGACCTATGTTTTTCAATCCGTATGTAAAATAAATAAATAAACATCCATTATAAGCACTTCGGATATTCATTAAAAATAATCAAAAAAGAATAAATGTTTGATTTTCCACTCTTCAAAAACCATTAAATGCATTAATTAAATTATTTAATTTTTTTTGTAAGTTGTACCTTCCTCGGTAGCTTAAGTTGATCTTACCGGTAATTGAAGTTGCACTTACTACCACTTTTGCTTCTTGCATTATTACTTGACACCAAAACTATCTCTATCTTTTCGACTATATATAAGCATTGTTTAATTTATGCATTTTTTTTCTTCATTTCAATTGGTTTAGGATTTAGGGTTTAGGCTTTTTGTGTTTGTTCTTGTAGAGGTTGCAGGAATGGAGCAACAAGAGATATTTGAGAAATTCACATGGAAGGTTGAGAATTTCTCTCGGTTAAAAAAGGTTTACTACGAGTATTTTGTCCTAGGAGGCTATCCATGGTTTGTATTTGAATGTATGAACTTCAACATTCTAGAATAGAGTTTATTAGATGCAAACAATAAGTCTTTTAATTTGATTTGTTTTTGGGTTAGGAGGATTTGCCTGAATCCAGTGGGTCCATTTCGTGAAGGCTTGGGAATATTTTTGGAGGCTGTGGAAACTGATAATATGTCTGAGGGATGGAACAGAGATGTTAAATTTAAGTTGCTTCTATTCAATCAAGTGAATGCCAACATCACAGTCACAAAAGGTGTTTTTTTCTTTCCTCTTCCTTGCCAATTTCTAATACGTTTTTCAAACTTATTTTTTTAACATTTTTACTTTAAAAATTTGCAGAATTTCATCACGAATTTAATGAAAAAGAGAAAGTTAAAGGTGCATTCGGTTTTATGAAAACCAGACAGCTTCGTTATCCCGAAAATTTTGTTGTGAATGATGTTTGTATTGTTGGTGCAGAAGTTTTGGTTTGTAAGTCAACACATGAGAAACAAGTATATCAAACAGTTAACTTAATTTCATCCCTCACATTTGGAAGTCAAGTTGGTCATATGGAAGCGGAAGTCATAGGACAAAATCCTTCAACTGTTTCCATTGAACCTACTAAAGATAGTAATGTGGAGTCTATGTTTGCTGGATTCAGAAGAGTTCTTTATTTCCTTCAAACTAAAAAAGTAAAAGACATGAATCAAAAGGGATGTAAGGAACTTCGAGTTTTATGGGATGAAGTAAAGAAATTTAAATTTGATCTTACTTGGCTAATGGCTCATGTTCAATATGCTTTGGGAATGCAAGGTTTTGTGGAGAAAGCTGTAGAAGTGGAGAAATTGAAAGACACTTTGTTGGTTTTAGAGCTTGAAACAACGAGGATAAAGGAAAAGTTGGTTAGAGCTGAGATAAGTTTGGATGTTGAGAGAGAGGTGTTGAAAGCAAAAGGTGTCAAAGAAATAGGTTTAACTTGTGATTTGGGATGTGGCACTTGGAAAGGATAGATCTCTATGGCATTTATTGATTTCCATATCTTTAGTATTTCGTCTTTTAAGTTAATAGTATTGCCAGCATATTGATTTCATTGTCTTCAATGTTTATCTTTCAAAAGACATGTAAAAGTGATAGGTTTTCAATGAAATATTCATTTGGTTAATTATTTTGACTCATTATATTTTAAGATGCAATCAATATTGTTGTGAATTTAGGAGATATTAAATTAAAATTTGACCTTATTAATGTCCCATGTTTATTATTGATCTTATCGGATCAGAAATAGATTAGTGGTTGGCAACACAATCTGAACTTCTTAATTTGCTAGTGGTGGAGGAGGTGTATCTACAAGGTATTTCGATTTCAAAGTGAGAAATTGAGTAAGAGAAAGGCAAATATAGAAAGCTAGGTTGTGAATAACATACATGACCCTCTAATGAAAGAGGGTATTTAATATTTATAATGTGCCTACAGCGCTGAGTCAATGGTTACTTTGCATTTGATTGAATTGTTAAGCCTAATACCAAAAAATGCTAGGGCTTATGTGGCGTAGGGAAGACCAACACGTGGTCTTCTCCCTGGGTCAACTGCCGCGTGATCTTCGGAAGATGGGTAGTTGCGTGATGATGTGTCCCCGCGTGGGAGACACGTGAGTGCTCCCTGTGTGATATGATAAGCTAGGCCCTCCCTGACTAAGACATGGATTGGGCTGTGCATGACAGTAGGGCAGCCTCTGGCCCAGTCCAGAATAGTAGCCCTCAATTCGTTGCTCTGAAGTAGAGGAGTAATGACTTAATAGTCAGTTCTAGCGTCGAGGACCCATCATGAGGATGATTGTGCGTGTTCGAAACACTGAGCTAGCGCGTAGCAAGGAGTGGGAGCTGCTCGACAGAGCAGGAGCTCGCGGGGGACCTGTCTGTTTGATGTAGTCCTGGCTCTTTCCCTGCTTCCCTTGGGGAAGTGTTCCTGGCAGCGCGATGTCGGACAACGTTGTCGATGACATGACGGAAGCGGAAGGAAACATGCACGTCTAGTCACGAACAAAAGAGGGATCTGAAAAGACACGTGTGGTCTCTTCCAGCGCCACGTGTCAAGAGTAATAAATGCCTAGGGTGGCTACGAGTAGGGGTACTTGAGTGCTTAGTGATGCCTCGCTTCTCGTTCTAGGGTTATAAATAGGGGAGAAATTTGCTTCATTTGCACGCTCCCCTTCCATTTTTCCTCAAGTCTCTCACAACTCTCTCTCTGCTCTGCAAAGCGCATCTGTCATTGCAACCTCCGTCAACCTCTCTTCACCGCCCATAATTTCTTTCCTTCAAGTAAGTCTGTAACACCCTTTTCTATCCCAAAAATATAATGGCAAATCATTCACATTTATCAGAGTAATATTTTAAACATAATAAAAATCACCTCAAAGGGCGTACATTTCTCAATAATTCAAATCAAAGCCAATGTTCTGTAAACAACGAGTTTTCCTAAAATTACTCAAAATTTGCTCAAATGGCAGCGAAACTCAAAAAGCAAATCCATAGTTTTCCTTGCACAACAACGTAATCAAAATAACAAAAATCAATAAAACATGGTTTAACTCAAAGACCCCAACCCGATGTTACACACTATCAGAGCAAGACCCTCTAAGTCAACCAAAATGTCAAAAACTCCAAAAAATCCTCGACGACATCCACAACTATACCTGGTCATCTACACGTTACCCACGTGGAGGTAACATTCAAACAGGCAGAGTGAGTAAAACCATTCATAATAATTAGTATAGGAATCAATATATAAAATAAAGTCATTTTCATATTCAACATCATCATAATCATCAAGGAAACATCAAAAAACCATAATATCATACATTACACCAAATTGTCACATAAATGCAAATGTAACAAGACTCATGCATGTGGTACCAATTCATCAAAGTTTGATGGACATTGGGTCATCAACCCTCCATAGATCCCCATCAATAGGAGCGATTATACACAAGAACTAGAGCACAACAAAATACTTCACATCCGCACAATGGGACTGAAGCCACAAGAATCAAACACTAGACCGAAGTCCGGAATGCATATGAATGCATGAGGCACACGTCAATATCATCATCATCATAATAAAATCATTAGGTGCATCATCATTCATCAAAATCATCACAATAATCATGTCGTCATAAAATCACCAAAGCCTCATGAAATCAACAACAGATATTGGTCACGAAGGCCTAATTTAATTTCTCTTACTCCCAAATCATCCTCAAACCTATCAGACCATCAGTTCAAATCCCTAAAACTCATTAAACTCACCAGAAAGGCAACAACAATTCAATACTCAAAATCCATAAACCCTTAAATCGGTTTTAAACACATTGAATCACATAAATTCCCAATAAATTCTCATAAATTCTTACAAATACCCCAAGGTCATCATAGTTCTCACAATCACTTACCCTATAGGGTGAAACAACCTCAAAAACAAATTTGGCCATGAAGGCCTAATTTCCTCAAACTCAAAAACCTCATAAATCCTTAAATCGACTTTAAATACATTGAATCGTTTATTGAAAACAATGAAGGTAATACTCCCCATACTTAAACAACCTCAAAAACAGATTTGACCACGAAGGCCTAATTTCCTCAAACTCAAAAACCTCCTAAATCCTTAAATCGGCTTTAAATACATTGAATCATATATTGAAAACAATGAAGGTAATACTCCCCATACTTAAACAACCTAAAAAACAGATTTGGCCACGAAGGCCTAATTTCCTCAAACTCAAAAACCTCCTAAACCCTTAAATCGGCTTTAAATACATTAAATCATATATTGAAAACAATGAAGGTAATACTCCCCATACCTTAATTGCCAACTCCAAGCTTTTCTCCTTGGTTCTTGGAAACCTCGTGAAGCTTTGCCTCAATCCTCTTCCTCAGAGCTCTAGCCTCTTTTTCTTCTCTTTTCACGGTCTAACAAGAATGAATCCTAATTCCTTCAAAATTCCTTTTTGTTAAACCTAACTTTTGGCCTTAAAATGGGCTTTCCAATTTCACCCTCACTAACTCATCCTCAAAAGTCCACTTTTCCCTCAATTCAATTATATTTATTTAAATTAATAATTATACCAATATATTCATATTATATACTATTATTTAAATAAATAACTCAAAATCCATAATTCTCAATATTCACATCAACCACTGAAAATCACCAAAAATACGAATATTCATATTTAAATAAATTAAATACATATTCCAATAAATTTGGGGTCTTACAAAGTCTCTAGCCCTTTCTCCATATTTTGTGAACTTTCCGATTATTTATGCATTTTCTAGCGATTTTCACAGGGAGCTCATGAAGTTCCCGTGGAACGCATGAATTTTCTGGCGAGCTCATGAAGTTTCCGGCGGAACTATGAAATTTCCTATGAAGACCCTGGGAAGTTCATGAGGATTTTGGCAAACTTCATGAAGTTTCCAATGACGGCCTCGGGGACCTACGGTGAAGGCCTTAGGGACCTATAATGAAGGTTTCGGGGAGTTCTGCTCCCCACGAACGTGTGAACATTGCGAGAAAGACTCTTGTCAAGGAGGCTCCCTCTATTTAACTTGAGAGATCTTACGCGCTAAGGAGCCTTTCTGTCGAGAAGGGAGACTCTTTGTCTCGCATCGAGGAGGGTCTCCTTGTGGAGAGTCTGTTCTCCGAGGAGGCCTTGAAGGGAAGTATGATGTTAATAGAATAGTTAAAGGTAAAGTTAGTTAGTCATTTCTAGATTTATGTTTTCCTCTTGCTGAGTTGTCCAAGTTTGTTATAACATCTTCAATTAGTTAGTTAGTTAGTTAGATGCTTCAGTTAGTTAGTTAGTTAGATCTAGGTAATCTCTCTATAAATAGAGAGCCCCTTGTATCAACATTTAACAGATTGAATACATTCAACACAATGAGAAATTCTCAAACTATTCTAATTCTCTCTACTTTATCAAACGCTATCATGGTATCCAGAGCTTGATTTTTTTTATCCATGGAGTCTTTGTTTCCATCTTCGCAAGTGAAGCTATCTCACTTAATTTTTGTGAAGCTTTAATGACAAGAACTTCAAGCAGTGGAAGCAACAGATCGATGGCATTGTTCGCGGACATCGCCTGCAACGGTTTGTTACAGTTCCGGTGATTCCACAGCGGTCACCGTCTGGTTGTGATTCGGCACTTCACTGTGCGAATTTATCATACTTGGAATGGGAACAACATGACACACTCATCTGTACCTGGCAGCTATCCACCATCACCGATTCACTTCTACCGAAGCTTGTGGATTGCAAGCATTCTTGGAAAGTTTGGACGGAGATTCATCGGTACTTCAATTGGCTTCTCGCTACCAAAGCGCGACAGCTGCAATCGGATTTACGTCGTCTCACAAAAGGAACACTCAAGATTGAGGAACTTATGGCTCGTGCGCGTGAAATCAGTGAATCACTGACTTCGATTGGGGATCCAGTTCCTCTTCATAACCTAATTGAGATTGTTCTTGATTCTCTCCCTAAGGAGTACGACTCAATCGTTGCCGCTGTTAACAGTAAAGAAGAATTAAGCTCGTTAAAGGAGTTGGAGTCATCGCTGCTGGCTCATGAGTCGCGTCTGGAGAAGCATCGCAAAGCCGTTACTATGGAGCCTGCGACGGTGAATCTTACTCAGGCAGCGCCACTATCTACGAAGGTTCCTACTGATCAAACCGCCACGGGCGTTTTACCTCAAGGTACGAGTCACGTTACTACTAATGTTGAGGGTTATGGCTCATGAGGAAGTCGTTCTGGTCGTGAAGGTGGCTGTTATGGCCGTGGAGGAGGACGCTCTGGAAAAACACAATGTCAGATTTGTCACAAATCTGGACATGATGCTTCTATATTTACTACCGTTACTCCAACTCCAATGGTGTTGTGTACACACTTCAGAGGGCTCAGTATAATCCTTTCCGCATGCCACCACATCCTGTGTATCCCTCTCCTTTTGGTTATGCTG